AACGAGTTGTTGTGTGGTGCTAAGAATGGCGAGACTCACTGACGATGCCGGCGAAACGTCTGGGAATGTAACACGCCCACGGTCCTACTCTGGAAATTATCATGCATACAATAGGATCCAGGCTAGCTGCGTTCCTCTAAGTCGTCCTAGCAATATGTCCAAGCTGCGAAAACAAGGTCAAACAACCTCTATGGATAATGAAGCTTACTTAAACCCGATTTATCAGCAATCCATAAAGCTAGTGATATGCCCCAGCAAAGGTAAGAAGCCGGGTAAATAATTGCTAAACATCCTAATGTTGAGACTAAATGTGGCGATAGTGCTTTAACAATGTATGTATATTACATATAGATATATATGTTAATTATGTCGCAGCATTAGGCCCTAAATTATATAAACCAATGAGATAGAAACAAAACAAGCCTAAATAAGAGTTCCAGTCACTCTAAATCGAATAAGGTAATGAAGAACTAATAGTTGAATTTGCCCACAATGATATGAGTATGCCTCACGTTTCCATTGAATTTCACTTAGCCTTGCTTCCCAAAGGGCAGTATTATCCAGAGAGGACTGCAGTTTCGACCTTGCCTAGGTCTCATCAGCTCTCCCTCAGTGGGACACGAACCCGGGTAGTGCAGCGTAAAATCCTGACACGTTACCATCACGCTACAATGCCACGAGTACCCATGGGTCACAGGACAGTCGTGAGTTTCAAGAAGGGTTAGGCTTCTCCCATATCAGATTTACTGATAGTTTTGAAATCTACTTTAAACGAATATAAAAATAAGCTTGAGTTTTGATTTACTGAAAACGCAAAGCAGCAACTATCAGTGCACTGCAAAATGAGTGTAAAATTCCAAAGTGCAAGAATAAGTAGGAAATGGAAATATAGAGAAAAAAAGCAACCTGAGCACTAGTGTCGTTGAGGAAAGCGAGAATCAATTGGACCAACGGCATGCAGTCTTCGCGGCGAATATCGGATAGAAGACCAACGGCGCACCTAACAAGTTCTGCCCGGACACGCTCTTCACGCTCCAGACTTAAGTGTTCGCGCAACCGAGGCAATAATAACTCGAGTAATACATCTGTAGGGCTTGCCAAGCAAAAACCTGGAGTAAAATGGAAAAAATATCAAATCATCTATTAAGATAATATATCTTCATATGGCTTCATAACATTAATTGTCATAAAAGGAGGCTAAAATATAAAGCAAAATAAGGACGCAACAAACGCTCATCGAATCCAAATATATTTCAAGGATGGTCTCGGACTACTTATCTATCAATCGAGAAGAATGAAAACTTCAGCACTCAAACAAGTACCTACTAGGTAAATTCTCTTAATGCTTACATTTGTTAAGGAATGTCCAAAAGTTTTGACATTTAACGCTTATTCTAGGTGGAACTACTTAAATCGAGACATGAGCAATTTAGAGGTCTGGAATGGGCTTCGAAAGATTTGATTATTGAGGTAGTAATGTTTTGAAGAATTATCATCCAACAAAATCATGCAAAACTTAAATATAATGTATTTTATGATCCGGAAAATAAGTCACCTTCAATAGAAGCAATGAGCATCAAATATTCCTTTACTTAAAACTATACCCAGACTCTTGATTTATAATGCATGTTTCTACCTATTATTATATAAGTTGATCCCAAACGTTAATAACATGCTATAGAACGTTTGGGATGTAGAACAGATTTTCGGATGAAACATGACCTTTAATCAACGCCGTCTATTGGCGTGATAAAATGGAATGATTGAAAAGAGGATAATTGAGATATAAGGTTTTTGAAGCATACGAGACTAGAAAAGCAGTGTAAGTGTGGGAATCCGGTTTGAGAAGAATCCTGGGTCAGACATTTTTACATTTTTTAATCATAATTTAATGTATATAACGAAAAAACGAGTCAAAAGTCGAGGGGTTATAGACAGGCAGTTATATAAGAGAACACCGACAAGTTGAGCAAAGTATATTCAGTAGCCCTACGGACAGATGCTGAAGCCGGTGGAGGTGGTTACGCTAGATTAAATCTACTTAAAATTGACACATTTGGTATGTAGAGGGGGTTGTAAATAGGTAAATCGGTCATATGAAGGGGGGAATATTACAACAATTAAACATAAAATTCGTCATCAGTCACTTGGCAATGAGGATTTTCAACTTGGTGCTGGGGATATCGCCTCTCACTTACCATGTAATTGGCTGGCTGCGACTCGTCTAGTTTCGACTTCATTATCCTCCAGTAATGCAAACATCATGGCGTGCAACGACTTGGTTCCGTTGGCCAATGTTGTTGTCGTGGGAGTTGATCCGGCTCCAGTCATGGTGGAAGAGCTAGCAAGCGAGTCTCGACCAGTGGACAATGAAACTGAGCCTGAATTGTCTGATTCCTTTGGCAAGGCTAAGGCCGCTACATTTAAAGCATCCTTTGTAGTAGTACTTGCAACGGCAGAACCACCAGCCAACTCCTTAGAGGCTGTAGTGGAGATAGAACCAACTCCAATGGAACTGTTAGTCGGGCAGCTACAGCGCACTGCAAGTTTCTGAAGATCTGTCATTCTCCCAGCTAATGCACGCCGCGTGTCACTGGGGAAAAACAGAGTAAATAAGGATGTTAAAGTACCTTTCATATCCCAATAAAGATGCAAATGCTGAATGAATATAAAAAGTTTAGCAGGAATGCAATAGATTTCACATTATAAATGTGAGTAAACCGAGAAAATATTACCTAACATCACTTATAAGACCCCAAGAGTATTGCATTTCTTAATCGTTAAACTTTATAGAAAATAA